TTAGAAAATCTTTGTAAAAAGATTATTTTTTTTTTACATCTGTTACTCCCATTTACTTAATTATATGAAATTTTGAGAAATAAATATTTCAGCTGCTTTTTTATATTGGTTAAAAGCAGAATTCCTTGGAGTATTTAAATCATCAATTTGTTTTTGTCAAACAGAAACTCTATTTAATGAAAATTTGCTCCTAATTGTTACAGTACTTAAAAATTATATAAAAAAGGCACTTGCGTCATTTTCTTAAATTATATTTTACAGATAGTTTCCTTAGAACAACATTAAACCTGTCATCAGGCTGTCAATGTGTCAAAACAGCTACTATCAGGCTAAAATTGCATTTCTGCAATATTTTAAACTTGAAGTAAATAATATTTCTTTCAAGTCAGATTAATTATACAGTCGGCTAATATTTTATTTTTAAAGTTTCAGAAAAGTATATTTTATTTTTGGAAGATTTTTAATTAAGAGAATTACTTTGTAATGAAAGCTGACTAAAACAGGATGCTAACCAGCTATTTTAGCAATTAAAAAAAAACCTCCTCCTTCCAGTCAATTTAAATTAGTTTTTGAAATACAGCAAAATATTTTGCTGATTGGAAATATTAAATTTAATTTATTAGCTTGAAATTAAAAAAAAAAATAAAATAAAAGCTTCAAGAAAGATTTTTCATTTTCAAAAATTCATTTTAAACCTTAAGTATTTTTAAAAAAATTTTTTCCTTTATTTTTTGTGGAGGTACCTAGTATAATTGTGTGTTAATGATAAGCAATATTTTGAAAGATTACAAGTCTCATAATAATTTTTGTCTAAAATTTAATAAAGTTTCAAGAAATAAAAAAGCATCTTGAAAGTCAATGAGTGAATGCCACCTTCATTTTTTTTTCTTTTAGCCTTCACTTATGTCAAATAATAATAGACTAATTTCAAACAATATTTGAAACTCTTAATAAACACTATCAATCTTAGTGGATCCTAAACAAATTGTTGCCTAATTTTGACAGCTGCTGGCAGATTGTTTCTATGTAGCTGGCCTATTTGCATTATGAACTTGAATATTACTGTAATAAAGTGGATATACCAATTAATGAATAATGTGCCACTTGAATCTTTCATCACGCAAAAATACTTTGTCACTTACTATCAGTGTGTATGTGAGTGACCTCTGGTCAGCAATATGGTCCTTATATTTTCATTGCAATGTCTGAGAGAATGTCCAACTCCTCTCTGAAGCAATTGTTTATATAATTCTCTCATGTTTGTCCAAAGTTGTGAGTTTGTGATTCTGAAAGTAACTTCAGGTCAAAACTCTACACCTGGCTTCCTTTAATCTGGTGTAAAATTGCATGTCAAGCCTATTCCAGCATAATACTACCTTCCACTGAAGGTGACTCTGATCACTGAACAATAGAGTTTGAACTTCATAGTTGTGTTGTCATATCCTGCTTGGGCAACAGAAAACAACTTTGAATGAAGTTAACAATAAGGTTACAGCAATTGAATGGGAAGTAATATTAATAATGCAGTGGGCTAAAGGATAATTGATGAGCCATGAAAGGCTTTGCTTGCCATACACAGCAATAATGAAGGAACAATCAGGAAACTGATGTTTACTAAGAATCATCATTTTATTTACACAGTAGTCTTGAAATCATCATTGTTTCTTTTTCAATCTGTTAGTAATATTTGATTTGTAGTATTCTTCGGACACAACTAAATATAAATTATGCATGCTGGCTTCTTGTGATTTTTGGAAATAACTTTGTATTTGTTGCTTGATTTTTTACCTCTCTTGTAGTCTTGCTTTTTTTGTTTATTTGCTAAAGTTTTCTTTTTTCTCTTCTCAGTTAATCACAATTAGTTCTCCTTAGCTTTTTATTTATTTAAAAAAAACAAAAAAAACAGAATTTTAACCATAATGACATTTAAGTAATCTTGTTAATCTCTGTGTTGCATGCATACTGTGGATTATGCTAGCTTGCCATTGTATAAAGATGGTTCCTTTATTATTTTGTATTTAAGAAGTTTAACAATTCTTATTTGTCTATAACTTTTGGAAGAACTTCCTTTTTAATTTCAAGTCTATTCAGAATATTAGTTATACATTAGTTGATCTAAGCCACAGATTTTTGATATCTTGCTCATCAGTCCCCCTATGTGCCATGTCCCCTTAGAATGTGGGCGATCATGTCTCTCCCTTGTCGCTCTTAGCAATGTTTGCAGAACAACATTGCTCATCGACAAATGAGTATACACTGCCACTGGCTTGATATATAATCAGATCTTCAGTTATGACTAAAAGTCATTGGTTGGAGTCCAGGTGTCACTGATGTTTGTTACTACCTACAAGATAACTGTTTTGTAATTCTTGTTCTTCAGTTAATTTAGTATTTGTACAATCAGCTAAACTCTTTGGTAAAAATAAACAACTCTATTGGAATATGTTCAATGTTAGACTGATGTATTTCCCTAAACGCACTGTACAATGTTTTAATGGCTACCCATCAACATTTTATTTTTGTTAAACGTTTAAAGCATTCATTTCTTTGTTATAAGCATTTTGGTAATTGATGCAAGTTTAATGCTACTCTCCTTTTAATTGAAAGAAAACTATTTCTTCTTGTTTATCATCATTTTGATTAAATTAAAGTTAATTCTAAATGTTAGATTCACAGTTAAATTCCTATATTTTGAAAAAAATGTCCTGTGGGTGAACGATGCATGTATAAAAAGCAGATGATTGTTAACGGCATTGAATTATCCTCAGATTTATTCCAAGTTATTCATATTTTTAGTTAAGACCTAGCAATTCTCAAGTTATTAGCCATTTAGCACTGAATTATAGACTTGTATGTACTTTTCTGCACATAATTTATTACCACTTCACATTGCTTACCATAAAAATCTGCATAATAATCATGTTACATTGAAACGAATTATTCTGTAATCACTTAAGTGAAGTAAAATTGTAGCTCATTTAATAATAAAACTGGTTTTAATACAACCTTTGCTATGTACTTCTCGCGTGATGAAGTTATCTCCCCTGGTCTCTTCAGTGACTTGCAGTAGGATTCACATAGTAAGATAAGTGAAGGCCAACTGACATCACAAATAATATAAAGTTAATCTGCATGATATATTCTTTGAAAATATTTTTCTAGAAAAATATTTGAACATATAATTACAAAGAAAGAGAACTGGTTACTTATGTTAAATTTATATCTATTTATTATTTTGCAAGAATATTTCCACATGATATCTGTCTGGCATTGTCTTCCAATACATTGCTAAACTATTTTTAAGCAAAATAATCTCTGCCATGATTTTTATATCCACCCAGACTTGACCATCTTTTAACCTGCAGAAAATAAATAATTAAAAGTAAAAGCAAAGTCTCTCTCTCTCTCTCTCTCTCTCTCTCTCTCTCTCTCTCTCTCTCTCCATTGATTTTGCTACAGTAACAATGCTCTTTCTCATTCTCTCTCCCTAGGGTGTTCTATCTTTCCTCTCTGACACTGATATTTTTTTTTCTTTTTGTACTAAAAACAATTTGTATTAAAAAAAAATAATAAAAAATAAAGCTGACACTTCAGCCAAGCAATTCAAATTTTCTGAAAAATTTAACTGACAGAAACACAGGTTATTTAAGAAAATTTTTTTAGTAGGTTCAAATGCTGCTGATATTAAAAAAAAAAAAAGCTTCCAATAGTCATGCAAACAAGGAAACATGCATCGATACACACACACACACACACACACACGACATTCCTGTCATCTATGTATAAGGGTCCAGTAGCACATTTCAAAGTTCTAGATATCTTTAGGAAGTTTATTTTATTAAAAAAATAAAAAAAAATATGAATTTGATATCAAATTTTTTTCAACATAGTGAGTCTAAAATGGTTGGGTATGTGGATTACTGATAAGCTGTAAGGATTGAAAAAGTATTTAAAATAGATTTGTATTGAAAGTCAAATCTTTGCCATTTATGTAGTCGTGCAAAACAGGATATTTCTTTATATTATCTGATGATTTGGATTGCAACTCTTACAAATGGATTTTATCCTTTTAAACTTCTGTATTTTACAACATGAAAAGTAGCTTTTAATGTTTCTCAAATATATAAAAGTAATTGTGAATGATTACTCGAATGTGCATCTGTGATTCTTTAAAAGACAAGAGGCCACATTACTTTATGCCTGTAGAATCAAGCATGACTCGGGACTGTCAAAATGGGCAAGAAGAGAGAATTTTTCTCCTCTTTATTTTCATTCTCATTTATTGATAAAATGAAAGTGCTTGATTTCTTCATTTGTAGTTTAGCTGTTTCATTTTCCAATCATCATCAAATGAAGGTTACAGCCAGTAAATTTGATTAGTCTTCCTGCAGTCTCCTTTCCCCCTACAAAGATTTACTATTCTTGTCTCTAGGATTATAGTTTTTATAACTTCCCAGATCATATAGCCACTTCAAGGGAAAATTATGACCCCTAAGGAAGCTTCTTTTTTTTCCCCCCTCCAAAGTCTCATCTCATAAAAAAAAATATTTTACAAGCAGTGCCATATTAGTATATTATCAATATTTTTGGATTGCCACAAAAGCCTTTGCAAAATCCAACCAAATTTCAAATAAACAAAGGAGAAGGTTTCCTTTATTAGGTTGCTAATCACCTTTTTTCAAATTCTGTTGGGAATGTAGTTGTTCTTTAGGCAACTTCAGGAGGACATGGCTCCTTTATATGTGATTGAATTTAACTGAGTTTCCTAGTCACCTGTCAAATCTTATTTGTTTATGAAAAAAAAATTGTTCAATTTATGCATGGCTTTTGAATGCTGCTCACATTATCCAATACTTTACCAATGACTTGGCCATTGGCTGTCTACAAAAAGCAAATATTTTTGCTTGTGTACATCATGCATGGCGAGCACAACTCTTGGTGAAAAATGTCAAGACTGCAAGATGACATACCCAATTGCCAAGACTGCTCAAGACTAAAATGTATGCTTTTTTTTTTTTTTTTTGTGACTGACAAAACCAAGAGATCAGAATGGTATGACCTCTAAAAGTGGAATAAAGCGTTTCGATTTTATTCTTGTTTATTATCACATGTCTACATTTATTTGAAAGCTACAAAACAGGGTACCTTGAAAAGCCACATTATAATATCAATTCAAATAACATGATAACTCAGAACTAGATATTTAAGATTTTAAATTGTTCAATCAAGTTTAGATTTCACTATCTTGGCCCATTTGCTTAAATCGATTTTTTTTTTTTTTTTTTTTTTTTTTTTTTTTTTCTACTTGGGTATATTTTGGTAATGTGAGGGTCTTGAAATACTATAACTGTTTCAAACTTTCTACATAAACAAGCATACTTGTTGCCTAACTACTTGATGTTTCGCTAGCTGGTTGGTGTCTGTGTGCCTGTTTATGTGAGTACCTTGTAGTGGTTTGGTGTTTCTGTCACAGTGGCTAGAATTGGCTGATGCTAGGAGGCTAAAGATACTGATAGTGGTTCTAGTCTCTCCAGCAGACGACCCTCTTGGACTCGTGGACCAACTTGCTGTCATCATTGCTCAGTGTGGCTCGGAAATGGAGAAGAAAATATTGGCAGAAAACAGAGAAAATCCATCTTACTGGTAAGTTTGTGTTTTAATTTTTTTTTCTTCCAGTAAACTCATTTGCTTTTCAAGAGATTTTAAAAGGACAGGAATTTCCGAGATTTTAGACAAAATCCAAAGAATCTGCAATATTATCAATCCAGACCTGGCATCTTGGTTTCAATCACTTTCGCATTGCAACAATGTAGCTTCCCTGCGCCTTTTCTACAAATATTTTCATGGCGATTATTCTGATAAGCTTTCATTGATATGTTGACTTCATGAATTTAAGCATAATACTAGATTGGCAACTAGGTCTCACCATTTTACTGTTGAAATTAAGTGTAACTGTAAGTTCTATGCTAATAGTTTCTTCTCTTGTCCTTCTTACCATTGGAACTTTTTTCTGGTTTCTTTTTAGTCAACTACTATCTTCAAAAGTTGAAATACATCATCAATTGTCTCCTTGAATCCTGTTCTTTTTTATTGTCCCTTCTTATCAGTAATATAGGAAATGCTTTTATATACAGAGTGTGCCAGAAATGGAAGACAACCTACTTATATACAGGGTGTTGTGCATAAATTGTTGTTGAAATTACGCAGAAATAAAATTAACAATGACATCTCATTTTAAGATATATTTACCAAAATTACACAAAAATATCTTGAAATACTAAAGTGTAAATTTATTCAATAAAATTGCCATTCCCTTCAACTACGGCCTCTACACTACTCCAAAATTTCCTGTAACACTTCTGGACGGTCTCATTGTTTAAGTTGGCGAATGCTGTCATTATCATTGCCTTTCTTATCTGCTACACCCTAGTCTTTCAAGGAGTTTTGTTGATCTCTTGCTCAACTGTGTCCCACACATAAAAATCAAGGGGGTTGCAGTCTGGAGAGTTAGGTGGCCTGATGTAAGGGGTGATATGGTTGCAAAAATTTGTCTGACAGCCACGATTGGATTCTCCTGTTTGTGTGGCATGATGCAGAGTCCTGTTGCCAGCAGCCATCCTCTTGACCCAGGATAGCACTACTTCCTCAAGGCACTTGATGTAAGTCTTCATCTTGCATCCGAGGCCCTATGGGAAGATGAATCAAGGCATAATATCGCCATCACTAGTAATCACTCCAAGCACCTTCGTAATCACCATTAGACTCATCCAACTCTGAAATGTTTGTATTGGAGCTTCTGGTGCAAATGCCAAGCAGTACAGCATGCTGTTTTTAAATTTCTAGTAAATTGAATTGCGTCATGATGTGCTTTTTCTCACAGATGATGCCCAATTGACCCTACTGTATTGTGCAGTCAACAAAATGTGCAAAATTAAAAATATAAAATGGTGACAATTTAACCATTGCCCCTGGTATGTCATGAGTTAATTTTGAACCTTCTTATCCATAACAGCTTCAAATTGGACATGGAAAATAAAGACAGACCATGCTCATGGCACTGGCCATCAACCATAGTAGTTCTTGTTAACTAAATTCTTGAAAGTCTTAAAGTCCTTTGTATTCAACGTTGAGAACAAATTGGAGGTCTCTGACAAGAATTTGGTTAAGAGTAAGAAAGATTAACTTATCGGGCATCATCAGAATTGCCACATTCAACTAGCAGTTTCAGGGCAGCATCAAACACAACCACAGCAAGTTAAGAAGAACTGCTGCCGAGCAGCTCGGGGGGGGATAAAAAGTTCTACATGATGAGGAGTGAACACTTCATATGCAACACACACTGGTGAACAATGTGACCCAATCAAAATTGCATTCTATACAAGCTCAAGCATCCTGAGAAGCCTGGCCTGTTGTGGTTAGTCTAACAAGTTGCGCTGCATGAACATCATGGTGATGCAAACTGGTTTTGTAATAGTTTTCGTGGCCTTATCATGTCATTCCACTTTATCTGACAGGGCTTTGGGATCACCAATTTGAAGGTTCTGAATGCAGTGATCTAAACTTTAGTTCAAAGCAGTGACTAAGGTGGGTGGAGGGCTGTATATTCCAGATATTCTTATTGGCTGGCCAAACTTTTCACAATTGAGCCACTTCCAACAGGTGGCTTTCTACATTTTCTGATCTGAATGACCTATGACTGCTGAAGCATCATGGAGACCAACCAGCAGACTGCAATATCAAAGACTCAATGAAGAATCATCTCAGTCACTCTATTGATTCATATCTGATAAAAATTAGTAATTACTAATATTGGTTCTTATCAGCTGTTTAGCAGACTGGGAAGTGGTCTGTACAGTCATAGGTTAATGGCAAATTTTTTTCATGTCTAATATTCAAAAATATGTTAACAGAATAGTCATTACCAAATGGTCATCCCTGTAAAATTCGTTTGTTTCTTTTAATTATTTTGTGTCTACATTCTAAAGAAAGGGACGGGTTTTTTATTTATTAATCCGACGGATTTTAAATGTTATTTTTACTGGATACTTGTATTTGAGTAGACAATTTGTTTATTTATTAAGCAGTATATTTATTTATCTTCATCTATTGGCCTGAATATTTGAGAAATCTTATAAGTGCATATTTTTTTTCTAATAAGATTTCTCAAATATTCTGGCTGATTGACAAAAGTAAATAAATGTACTGTTAAATCAATAAATGTAGCATTTACTTTTTTTTTATCCAGTCCAGGAAATGTTGTAATTTACTGATTTTTTTCAACAAATATTTACCTTAATTGAATTTAATGGAAAAATAACTGATTTGATTTTCCTTTCTTTATTCAGGAATTGTCATCAGCCTATACTTAGGCTTTTATGTTTTGCTAGAAAACCAATTTGAATTTTACGGAATTGTTTCTTGATATGAATTTTAACAGAGCAAATAACGAGGCAAGTTTCTGTTGGATATTGTCCAAGGTTCGATCAGGTTCTTAACAACACTGCTTTTACTTCGAAGTACTCCTTTTTGAAATTATGGATACTCAAGATTGCTTAATACAAAAAAAAAATGCTATAAGTTACCAAATATCTTAGTAACTTAAGACTTTTTTTCCGATTGTTTAATTGATATCAATTTTTTCTAATGGTTAAAGGGAGGTAACTGTAATTATTTGTCAAAGAGACCATGGCACGTGAACAAAATGTCACTCCTTCACAGAATACATGCAATACAAATCTTCAGGGAGATGAAAACTGGTAAATTTGTGATATTTACATGCTATGACTAAGTTTTATGGTGGTTTTAAGACTGACAAACAGTTGGTCTTGAGCAAGTTTTTTTTTTTCTCTCTCTCTCTCTCTCTCTCTCAAGGTTCAGCATACCTTGTGCAGTTGGTTGATGTAAATATTAGACTCCTTTATATATATTACCTTTAGGCTTATTTTTGAGTGGGCAATTTTCTTTTCTTTTTTTCTTTTTAATCATTTCACCCCAGGCAGAGCAATAAAGCCACTAAGATGCAATGGCGGGGAGGGGTTTACTAGGTGTGATAGAATAAGAGAAAAAAAAAAACTACTAGAAAGAAAACAATAAAACAAAAGAACAGGAATTAAGAAGCCAAATGATAATGATTGACATTGCATTTAAATTTATGAAGATCAAAGTTTACTGGGAAGCCAGAAGAAATTTCCACATGCGAAAAGTACAAGAGAAGAAACTGTTAGATGATAGATATTTTAAAATGACTTCATAAAAGACCAAAAGTCTAAAATAACTGTAAAATATACAAGCTCAAAGTTGATACATACTCTTGTTGGTTTTGTGGTAAATTCAATGTGCCAGTTCTGTTACCTCTTCTGAGTATCTATTAATTGCTTTAATGTCTTTTAAAAACTATAAATGCAATTTGTAGCATTTTAGTTGTTATGCTATGAAAATTAGTCCTTAATCCCTTATTTTGTATTTGAAACTATTTTGATATATGCCAGGTGCAACAAATAGATTCTAGAAAATACTATAAGCATGAACATGTTGCATTTTAGTTAAAATAAATAAGAATTCTATTTTTATGAGTGTATATTATGGAGTAAAGAATGACATCTTAAAGTACTCTTTATAACCTGTGTTTGTTACAGATTTTGTAAGTACATAGATGTAGTGCTGTTATGAAGTTAGGTTGTGTACTGCAATCCTGAAAGATGTTATAATAATGAAATTAAATATTTACTTATGTCTCTACTCTAAATTTTGTGGAAATTGTATCCAGCCATCTAGAGATTTTATTGTAAAATTGATGATCTATATTTTTTCTTTATATCAAACACTGCAATCACAAAGACTACTTACCTTCAAACATTCTAGAAATGCTCTGGTCAACCAGTTTTTTTGTTTTTTTTTTTAATTATTGGAGTTAGGGAGAGAAATCTTATATATAAATTTGTGTGTGTCTGTAATTGGTTATTTTTCTTTATTTTCAGGTTCTTGTATGATCCTTCAAGTAATTTAAACCAAAAAATGTGGCAGAAAATCCAGAAGCTGCGTGATTCAGAAAAAAGCAATGAAGATAACAAGGTGGAAGCTGACAGAAACTCAAGTGAGGAAGGTAGGATTTTTTTTTTTCCATGGAGGAAAATAAAAAAAATAGTGATCAGCCTGCTTAACTACTTTTTGCATGAATTCTTAGCACATTATGGATTATATTGTCCTTTTATTTTGTTAGTGACCAATTTTACATTCTGTATCTGTTAATCAGCATGAATCAAAAATAATTTCCAAAAAAGTCTCTGGTTTCTCATCATATACCTGCAAGAGCCTTTCTGGAATTGTTTGTGTTTTTGGTCACAGAGACCATTAGTCATTTTTATAGCTACTGTCTTCTTTATCTGTTTTTGCAGATAAGGAATGTTGCTGTATAGCTAGATTTGAAATCTCATCTCTGGAATAGTATGTTGATTAAGATAAAAGTTGTTAAATTATTAAGAGGAAAAAAATGGCTGAATTGGCTCTAATATGGTATGGTAGTGAAAAATTCTTGGCCTAACCATGATTTTTTTTTCTCCCCACTCATATTCTGACTTGCCCTGAGTATGAGAATAAACTACATCCAGCAGCAAAGCCTCTGTTAGGGTCCCAGCTTTGGTCGGATAGTGAACCCTCCAAACAAAAATCAACAGCTCGTTTTTTTTTGTTTTTTATAATAAAATGAGCCACAATACATTTTTATAGCAAAATGTGCAATCAATGCAATACTAAAAAATATGAAAATACATTTTTATAGTAAAATTAACAATGCATTTTGTCATATACAAACTATATATCTAAAAAAAAAAAAAAAAGTAAAAAAAAAGTATACCATTACAAAATATCCATAGTTCAAAGCATATAATAGTGTTCAAAATATATAGATTTCAGCATTAAATAACCTATAAATGTTGATAGGCTTCTAAATAAAATCAACCAATCCAATTCTGACACTTGGTCAGATTTTATAAAATGGTACAAGCCAAGAACTTTTAGTATCCCCCCCCTCCCATATATCAAGTTATAAAATTTGCTTATAAAATCTGTTAAGTGAAATAAACTGAAAAACCTAACTACACATTCATACTATTTGCTAGCATTTTGTAATAAAATATAGAAAAAGAGAAATAAATTGAATGAAAGATTATGTGCTTTGAAATAAGCTGTGTATAAAATATTACTTGTCTTCCATTGTTCTGACGACAAAATTTCACATTTTCACCACAGGGAAGTATTTTTTTTCTTTTTGAAATAAAAGAACACTGTATTTACTTTTGTTGTTTGGGCTTAAATAATAAAAATCTAAATAAAGTTTCTGAAGTCAGACTCTATTTAGATTTAAATAATAAATACTAAACTTTTTTTATACTAGTATTATTTTGAATGTAGAATCAGAACTAGGTTTTTTTTTTTTTTTTTGGTTTATTAACAATATTAAGGAATATGCCTTTGCACTACTGTTGCTAAAGCACTACTAATGTCATGTCGAACATTCACAGCAAATGACCATCCAGCCTTTTGATGACCGACAATCTGACCCTTGTCCAGTTGGACAAAAGCTGTATGTCTTTCTCTATTACACTGGATGCTTTCACCACATTCAACCTTATTGCAGCATGCATCGAAATCTTAAGATGCAGATTGGTATGAGTGTTACCAAAGTCACTAAATGGTCACAGACCTCTCCCCACCTATCAGCAATATCCTTTAGGGTGATGAATTTTATTCCCCTTCAGTGTATTTCTCTATAAGGTTATTAACTTTTTTTATGACTGAATTCATTGTTTCCAGGGCAAAATGAAAACAAATCTGGACGGAAAAAAAGGCGCAGTCGTTGGGGACCCCAGGAGGAATACACTCCCCTTCCATGTGACCTTGTTGAACCCACTACTGTTCCTTCTGAAAATTTGATGTACTCTTCTTCAACTGTTGGCGGGGTGTCTCCAGCTGCACCTCAAACACAGCCAGGACCAATGGCATCAACTACTACAACCCGACCTCCAGGTTAGCCTTTTTGACTTTGTAATAGGGTTTCATTACTTTTCTTTTACCCACTCCAAGATATATTAATGAAAATCTACCTTTGGAGAACCATGACAGCTTATGTTCTAAAGGAAGACATTTAAAAAAGAATAAGTATTTTTGGTGTTTCTTGTTAAGGATTAACAATTTAATTTTTTTTTTCTTTTCTTTTAATAAAAAAGAGAGGAGAAATGGAATCTCACATTGCTTCTGTATTTCTAAACAAAAATTAGTAAAAAGTTTTTTTGTTTTTTTTTTTTTTTTTTTTGCAGAAAATGTATTTGTATAAATAGATAAGGTCATTTATTGATTGAATAATTGTACTATGAATTTTGTAAATGATTAAATGAATTGTTATTGGAGAATAATTTTTTTTTAATTTACGATGTATGCATTAAGCAGAACAAACAAACTTGTTTATTTGTGCTTAGCTATTTATTTAAAGCCTGTTTTTCTTTCTGAGTAGCAAGTTTAATATTTGGTCATTTTAAGAGGAGGAAGAGTCAGTCAAGAACAGATTTTTAATACTATCCACAGCTTGGTAATTTTTAAAAAAAATCTCCAATTTCAACTAAAATACTGAGAAAAATTTATTGAAAAACATCTGTTTACTATAAACATTCAAAAGAATTCAATAAACCAGTGAAATTTTATATATTTCTCTGTATTTTATATTTGCACACAGAAAGTTTAAAATGGAGTTCTCTCTTTCAGCAAAAGATTAGTCTTCTTTTTGACAAGCAGAGATACTGAAACTATTCTGCCACAGACTCTGTGATAGAATCTCTTCTGACAATAATAAACATCATTGCTTTTGGTACAGAAACAGTAATTGTTTTTCTCTCTCTCTCTCTCTCTCGTTTCAGTAATTCATCAGTTTGAAGTTTGTAATTCTGAAATTAAACATTACCCTAGCTCTCTTGTTTGGGTTACTCTTATGTTGTCATCTTTTGACAAACACTTGCTATTCTCTTCACTTGGCAGAGTGAATTGCGTCATGGTGCTTTTTTTCTCACAGATGGCAGAGTTAAAGATTAAAAAAAAAAAGAAGTTACTCAGTGTGCAAATTAGATTTTGTAAGAATTCTGTTAGCAAACAAAAAAATAATTATCTTAAAAGCAATGGCCAGTTTTTTAAACCCTTTTGAAAAGAAACCTCAATATATTTATAAAAAGAAACCAAAGTTTTGTTCCCTCAATTGAATCATATGGAGGATAAGAATATGTTGTTATCTTTCTCGGTGAATTTTAAAGCCTGACTAAAAAAAAATCATTTTACTTTAAACATTCTCTTACCTTTCTCACTTGTTCTCTTTATATTTTCTTTTTAATTTTAACTTTTTGTTTGTGTTTCTTAGTTTTTCTTTTTTTGCTTGTAGTTGTTACCATTCAGGATTTTGCTCGTAAAATGGTCGGCAGCGATTCCCTGTCTGATGACCAGCTGAAACAAATTAAAGAACAACGAGAAGTAAGTTGACCATAAATTCCCTGCATTCTCTTTGTGTATGTGTGTTGTGCAAGTCAGAATGTTAAATGCCTCCAAATTTTGTGACATTAACCATTCCTTGAATTGTGTGGAGAATTTTTCATTTACAAGACTTGAGCTTTCTAATGAAAATTATTAAAAAATATTCCATTAATTTTAGGTAAAAAGCCGAAGCTGTTACTAATGAAATTTCAAACAAGACTTTATTGAAAACTGTTGTGTCTAAGTTCTTCATTTTCGTTTATGTTGTAGAGTAGTTTTCACAGTGGAGGCTTGTATTTCACTAAGTCGGTCCTAAAAGGGTCCGACCTACAAAACGTTATTAACTTGTTATAATAGTTAATGACGCAGCAATCTAGTTGTGGTCGTTGATACTTTAATGTCCGACATCGACTGACTCGACCAACTCCACTGAGCCCCCTGGCGACTGCTACTACTTATTATATGTGAGAGAGTCTATTAACAATAGAATAGGTATGTTCCGGTATAACAGTTTATTCCTTGTTGACTTTTTTCCAAATTGCTATCTGATTTTTCTGAGACTTCCAATTTTTAGAAACTTTGATAAAAGTTGTGGCAAATTCACGCACACTAATATAAGCAGTAACTTTGTTTTTATAAACTGAATACTGTATTTCTTCATCTAAAATAACACTTTTGAAAAGGTTCAACAATCATGTATAAAGTGAAATGTCGTTAGCATACGGCTTTTTAAAATCAGTGATGAAAAGGTTCACTTTTCACTGGATATTCAAAAAAAAAAAAAGTAGCTTTATTCTTTGAATCTCTCTCTCCTGTGCAAGTACATCTACTTGCTCCCAACCATCTGTCAAAGCTCTTTACTATTGACTTATTAAAAGTTAATTGAAGCAGATTTGAGTTCAAAATAAAAAAAAAATTGATTGCTTAGACTGTATTGCATTTCTTGTAAATGAAAACTCTAACTGCACTTTTCTGTCTCTAAGTAACTGTTATGAAAACAAGAAACTGAGCTTGCTTCATTGGACAAAAAGGCTCTTTTGTTTAATATCTCATTGCTTTGGCTATTTAAGGGGGAATCAGTTTGAATAACTTGAAAGAAGAATAAAGAGTATAACAGTGTTTCTGTTAGTCTCTCTTTTTAATCATTATAAAATTATCAAAATATAAATCTACACCTTGAATTTTTCAAATATTTCCATTCCTGAAAGAATTAATCCTTGCCTAAGTCATGACTATAAAAATGTTAACTTAAAAGAAAATGGTTAAATTCATCATTTCCTGTCATTTAAAATACATAAATTAATTCCAAACTAAAATGATATAAATATTAATTACATACAAAAAGAAAAAAAAAATTGAAAATCATTAGCTCGTTTATTAGACATTAAATCACATCACTTTTCAGTTAAGCTGATGGATATTTATAAGTGTTTCTTAAATGTAAAAATTTTGAAAAACTAACAACATTTTTACTTTTCTTTATAATTACTTGCTGCAAAATAAAATAATATTATTTGCTTTGATAAGGTCCATCAGAGGACGAAACACATTGGCTAAGTTTTCCTTTTATATATATATATATATATATATATATCATGAATTGATTTTTTATCCAGCATTATTTCTTTATTTTGACAATTATTTTTAGTAGATTTAATAGCAACCCAAATCCATTTACCCAATAAAAATAACATTTATATATACATGTATATACAATGTGCAATCAAAGAGTATCCGACTTTATTTTTCCCTACTAAAACTAATTCCATGTGTGCAAAATCCTTTGGGTGTGTGGTGACTCCACCCTAACCCTGCACATGCGTGAAAATATTCACACTTTCTGGTTACACCTACAGCTCATCAGATTTTTTCTTATTTCACATGATGACTGAACACATTGGGCAGAGCTATTACATCAAATTTTGCTAAAAGCCTTTAGCTGCTCAAACCATCTAGAAGATTCAATTGGCCTTTGGCAAAACTTGGATTAAGGAGTGTTGCAACTGCTTTAAACATGGCTGTACCTCAGTTGAGAGCGAGACTCACTCAGGCAGGCCATCCATAAGGCAAAACGAGGAACCAATTTCAGAAGTTTTGTTGCATAGTCATGGGAGACCGTTGTGTAACAATCCAAAAAACTGCGCAGCAAGTAGGAATAAGCACAGGATTAATAGATTCCATTTTAACATAGGATTTGAGCATACAGTGTGTTGGAGAAATTCACTCATTCATTGCATCCACATAATCCAAATCAGGAACAACACACCCCACTTGTTTGACAGGCTTCCTGCTCTCCTGACTCAGCACCATGTGACTTCTGGCTCTTCCCCAATCTGAAAACCACACTGAAAGGGAAGTGATTTGAGTTGTGAGAGGAAATTATGAAAAGTGACAGTGGAGTTCCATAGCATTTCAGAGAAGTCGTTCCAGTGGTGTTACTAGCTGTGGCAGAACAGTTTGGGAGAAGCATGTAAACTACCAAGGCGGGTATTTTTTGAAAAGGATTAAATAACATTTGTAAAATGTACAAAGTTGTTTTATGCCCAAATACACCTTGTACATGTATGTGTGTGTGTGTATTCCAGTATTACTGTCTTTCCACGGCTTAAAGTTTCATGTAGACACCTAGATAGTTATATGGCTTTCTCACAATCTTCAGGCAGTACAAACAGTGGCATAGCTAGAGTGTTGAGTTTGTCTCCAGACCTCCAACACCCACAAAAAAAAAAATACATATTGCACAGTGACTCATTCTTAAAGTTATCTGTATATATATATATATATATATATATATATATATATATATATATATAACTAGTTTATGTACCATTATAATATTACTTTCTCATACTCAAATATACTAGTATGCTTTAAATACACATATTTAAACTTTATTGGTAACAATTAAAAAAGAAAACAACATATAAGGGAAAAATTATGAAGATTTCAACTTTCTACAAAGTAACTCTTGTTGCTTTTTTGTAAGCAAATTCTTCAATGACATCGTCAAAATCTATTTCATCTGTCAATTGCTGCTCTAGTATGGCAAGATTTCTTAACTGCAAACTGCTTGTAGTAATTTTTGATCAGTTTTAAAAAAACTTCTCTCACTGGTTGCAATAGTAACAACAATTTTGAGGAAAATCCACAGCGTTATTACTATATTTGGAACCAAGTTCCAAAGGTTATACTTTTGTGAATAAACTGCAAAAGTTCAAAGGTGCCTTTCTTTAATTCTGTCTTTAATTGCAGCAACAACAATAAAATGCCAAAGTCTTTTTCTCTCGACAAGGAACTCCTCTTTATCAATGTCAATGTGATCTATAAAGTTGACATTCATATTTATCATCCATAATATTCAACTGGGTAAGGAAGGCATATTTCTCAGAAAGTTAATGAAGCTGTTGAAATCTCCAAGTTATTTCTTGGATCACTTTGTTCCACGTTCATATAAGGATAAAATGTCTTCAACACAAAAAAAAATTGTGGCTTGGGTTGTTCAAAGTAACAAGAGAGACAGTTGAAGTAAATTAGTTTTCTGCTTGGTGAGAGGACCATTTAAATCTTGCTAAGTGATTAATAGCCGATAATAGATAGGCCAATATATATGTCATAGTTTAAGTTAATCGAAAAGGTCCTTCAACTGTGAGTACGTCTTGAAATTGAAACAATTTTTATTTTCATACAGGCTTATAGCCTACAGCAAAAAGGAAAGTGCCACCCAGGGTAGACCGTCCCCTTTCTAGTTATGCCACTGAGTAGAAATGACAAGATATCCAATTCCTTATTGTAAGAATTTGAACATTGTTTTTTTTGTTTGTTTTTTTATTAGATTGTCTCTATATTTTTTATACAGGCATCCCTTGATGCATTTTTGGTTAGTGCGCTAAAATTTTTATATACCAAAATTCTATGAGTGCATACATAATACTTGATTAGTGCGGCAAAACATTCTTCAGTTTAATCATAGTAATTGAAAATTGATTATTTTTTATAGTTACTACTGTACAAATTAGCCACATTAATCGAGGGATTCCTGTATTTTACATTTAGCATTGTTTTTGTAGCATTTTTTTTTTTTTATTTTATATTTTTCCTTTATATAAAATATTTTGTATGTATTTTTACTTTAGCCAAATTTCTCAAATGGTTATTCAGTTTAAAGAGGTCCTTGTATAATAATTGTTTGCAGCTGAATATGATGTACGAGTTGATTTTAGCACAAAAGAAAGCTAAAGAAGCAGCTTTGATCTCTGAGGCGTTGGGCATCAGTACCAACCCAAAATATGAATATGATTCTGATGAAGATACTGAAGGGGGAACTTGGGAACACAAGAAGAGAATGATGGAAATGAATGCCACCAGAGGTAAGTTGACCAAAAAATCAAGCTGTTTGTGTTGAAATGTCACACATGCAAATTATTTGTAGTGTACGTAATGCTTCCCAGACTTTCCAAAATAAGTCTATTGCTGGTACTTGCCTTACTACCCACGGATCTGTTACTGATTTTGTTGAAATAGAAAAGCTTTTCCATTCATAGTGCACTTATGTGAATTTTTAAAAATACTATTTGAGTATCAGAAAATTCTACCAGACTGCATATCAGATTCCAATCCCATGTAAGAGCCGATGGACTATTTGACAACAGTCCTAATGGATAAATTCATGAATTTTCTACCATATTGCTGGTGATTGTTTTCCCTGGACACCTCTCATCTTGACCAACCTTAAACTGCATATGCCCTTGAAAACCCTTTGTTCAATCGTAAAGGATGGTCAAAAAGTCCTTAGCACATTTCATGGTCCTAGTATGTGATGCAGACACATAACTTGAATTTGTTAGCCATTGTAAAGATTCCAAAACTATGCATAAAGTTTATTTTATTCAGGGCTTTGCCTGCTCATCTTGGTGGGTGATAATGAAGAGAACTTCCGCTATGTCAGTTCTTCACCCTACCAACTGTTTGCTCCTTTACTCATCCCAATGTGGTGGCTGGCAATTTAAAATGGAGGCTTCAGAACTGCATGGTAGACAGAAGCTTTCCCAAGCATGACTGTTAGAGCAGCACTCAGATATACCCTATTTCCGGTTTTGTTGCCACTTGATCTCTGAAAATCCTTTCACTTCTCATTCCCCTTCAGTTAAAGTGGATGCCATATAGAAGACTCAAATTTTATGAAAAAAGAAAAGTGTAGACAATTGCAGTTTGAAGAAACAGATTGTATTGTAATCTCGACAGCTGCTGCTTGAAATAAGTTTTTAATATTTTGTGAATTTTTGAGATTCTTGTTTTAGGTGCTTTTGTTTCTTACTATTGGTATTTTTCATCCTCATCTACAGAATGGGCTGAGCGTCTGACTGAGATGAACAAAGGCAAACACTTTATTGGGGATTTCTTACCTCCAGATGAATTGGAGAAATTCATGGAAACATACAATGTAAGCATTTCTAACTCGATTTCCCTGTTTCTCTCAATTCATTTCATGGCCGTTATTTCTCGCAAGATCAGCCCTTATTTTAATTCTAACAACACAAATCTGTTAGTCTTTTTTAAAGTTAATATTTTTAAATATTTTGTTTAATTGGTCACAATAGTCTGTTTATAAAACAGAAATTCAAAATTATTTTCCTTATAATTTTAGGATTTTAAATGATGGCACTTCAGAATATTGAAATGTAGGTAAAAATTGGTTACTTTTATAAAAGTAGAACAAATAAATTTAGACGTTGGTTTTTTGTTTTCGTTTTAATTTTCCTTCTCACACTTCAGGCTTTGAAAGAAGGTAGAGAGCCTGACCTTTCCGATTACAAAGAATTTAAGCTAACCTGTGAAAATATTGGTTATCAAATGCTGCAACGTCTTGGTTGGCAAGAAGGTGAAGGTCTTGGCTCTGAAAATCAGGGAATTAAAAATCCAGTAAACAAGTAAGTGTAAAGGGCAGTATAATTTTGATCTATGTATCTTAAATGAGAAAATTAAAAGGCAGTGGCAAAAAAAAAAACAAAAAAAACACACATACACACTTTTGAAAAATATTTTTTATCAGATAGAACATATCCATCAAAAATTGTCAGTTCCTCCCCAAATATTGAAGTCTCAAATTTGTAACTTATTCTATTAATGTTCTAAAAATACCAAACATTAAAATTCTATCAAAATCGTGTGTGTGTATATCTATCTGTGTGCATGCAACGTGTTTATCAACATTAACAATTTTCAAACAATTTTTCACTTCAGTCACTTTCAACTGCTGATGTCATGTAGCTTCACACTTTTTTTTATAAATATTGTCATGGTAATTATTATGATCTTTCCTCCTTGGAAATTACCTAATCCCGCATTAATTTTGTCCACTTAACTAATTGTTCTGTCACAGTTAAGGATTCTGGTGGACTTTTATCACTAACATTATTTTGTTTAGTTTCTTGTATATAAATTGTATTCATTGTAAATATTCATTGGGGTTTCATTTTTATTGCCCACCCACCACAGACAAATTGTACAGGACTAGTTAGGACAACACAGAGACTTGAGGTATTATGGCGACTGTAGTAAGAATGTGTTGCTTTGGCGTAAAGAATATTGTTATGCTTGGGTCAGTAATTGTGGCTAGCTAACTTTAAGATATGGTAATTGAAGACTAAAGCCTTCCCATCTCACTTTTTGACCTTATGTCACATTTTTGTATTAAAACAAATTAAATATTGCTTTCCTCCTTGGTACCTCGACTATATCAATTCAAGTGTACCATTAGATTGGCAATTTGGTCTCCTCATTTTACTATTAAAATAGCTAAATGTAACATTAAGTTCTATTCAAATAGTTTTTCAACTTCCTTCTGGTTTCTTGCTTCCCTGTTGTCTATGATCTCCAAAAATTTAAATGCAACATTAATCACTGTATTCCTGAATTCTGTTATTTTATTATCCTTTTTTTTTTTTTTTTTTCCATTCTCAGTAACCATTTGCATCTTAAGTGCCATTACCTCCTTGCTTGATGTGAATTGATTTAAAAAAAAAAAAAAATTTTTTTTTTTTAAATATTTTTCATCTACACTCAATTAATTTATGGCAGACTACAACAATGCTGCAGGAAATAAGATCATAATGTTGCTGGATCAAAAATTATTTAATTCTATTAGTTTTAACTTTTTTTTTTTTTTCTTTTTAATTAACAACTCTGCAGCTTGTGTAGGGGAGGGGTAGTTCTAGAAACCAAGATTACATTTTCTTAAATGTAAACGCTGATATTTCTTATTTCTCCTAACTTACAACAAGGAAGATATAAAATTATTTCTATACAATGAAAAAAAAAAAAAAAAAAAAAAAAATTCTGATGGAGACATTAAACAATTTTAATTCAAATGAGATATTAAAAATATTATTTTGAGAATTGTTATACAAATTTACTCACACTCTTTGGGTCCTGTCACTTTATCCACTGTGCCATGTATCCTTGAGGACATCTGTGTATGAATTTTTGCGTATTATAAACCTAATGTCTTCAGCAAACTTTACCAGAGCTCATATTGCAATTTTTGTTGTTATCACTTTTTTCTGGTTTCCATATTGTATTCATTTCTATGCTTGGTTGGTTCAGATTTTTGTGGCCTGGTATATGTTGTAATAAATATAGTAACAAAGAAGAGGACAATAGTCCAAATAATGTAAATAATACCTCATCTCAGAAATATAGACAAATAATTAAGTCTAGGAAATGTTTTTATTCTATGTAATTAAAAAGTTGTGGCCAGAATTGTAGTCATTTCTGTAAATAATTATAAACTTCAATGCCCCCCCCCTTCCAACCCAATTCTAGATTATTTTTTTTTTTTTTTTTTTACAAGTTGTTAGATAAGTGTCTTTGAATGCAGAGAAAAACTTTCCCTCTTATAGCATTTCTTTGTGTCTGTAGAGGAATCCAATCAATTGATGGTGGTGGCTTTGGAGTTGAAAGACCTGCAAATTTGACTAAAGATGATGATGAATCAGAAAACGGATGAAGCCAGATTCAGAAAACTGGATGATGATTTTAGCCCCCCCTTCAAGAAATAATTATTTTGTGTAAATTTCCAGAGATTTTAAAAGGAAAAAAAAAATAATTGTTAATCAAATATTGCTTACATGAAAATAAATCCTGTGATTTTTGTTGTGAGTCACATGTAAATTTAAAACTGACTTGTCTCCACATTGAAACTGGATGACATTAAAGCAAATAGAATGCAGCTAAGGATTTCTAAAAATGAGTTTTTCAAATACAGCTTCCATTACTTCAAGTAAAATATTAATTATTAGCATGAAAAAAAACGATGTAATAAAAATTTTAAGAAGAAACACCAAAGTATTTTTTTGAGGTCCGAAATTTTTTTTAAAAAAAGTCATCAAAATTACTTAAAAAAGTAGCTAAAAAAAAACAATTGTTTATAATTATTTATTCTACGTTTTTCAAAATTTATTTGACTAAAATTACAAATTTAAAAGATTAGTTAAAATATTTTGAAAAAATACTTTTTTCAATAAAAAAATTTTCCACTGAATCATTTCGAGTGACAAGTGATTTTTTTCGACAGACGGGAGTTGAAATGGTCATACGTGAAACGTTTTTTTGTTTTTGTGTGAATCGCTTATGTACTACCATGTTTATTAAAAAAAAAATTAGCATTCCAATTTCCTTTATTTTGTTAATTTTAAAACATGACTTGTCTATCTATTGTTCGAGGATGCATTTCTATTAGATGGTTCACCAGTGAAGTAGTTGTAAAATAGAAATTAGAAATAGAATGTTTGGAAAATATGCTGAAAAATTTAGAAATTCAAAAACATTCTGAAAAAAGTTCTGCTGTCAGTATCAAATTCAAATAGAATGCGAAAGCTAAAAAGGAAAACATAATTCATGGAACAATGAGTTTTTCAAAACTAAAATTAATATTTATTTTCCATTACAAATATGATGACAATTCCTAAAAAAACTCCTTTCCTTCTCCAGTAAAGACAGTAACTCTGTGTTTTCTGTTTTTGAAATTGTTTTCCTGTATATGTTTTGTTCTGTTTTAGTAAATTAAATATTTGTTTTATAGCAGAAGTAAATTTTTTGTTATTTGATAGTCTGCATTTTTTAATGACAACCCATTTAAGCGCTTTTATCAAAACATAATTACATTTTTTTTCATTGTCAGATGGGTCCTGAAATATAAGGGAATGCATTAAGGTAGGTACAAAAGGTTGATTGCTGTTTTTTTTTATCCCAAAATTAATGAAAAGTGTTAAAATTTCGATTTAAAATTAAAGAAATGCTTAAAAATTCAATTTTCATTGAAAAATTTTTTTTTCCAGAACAATTGTCCATATTCATAAGAACAAATAAAAACAAATAAAACGTTTGAGATTAAATAGACTGTTAAGTTTTGATAAAATTCAGAGCTGATTTTCAGGTACTGAGTTTCTTAAAAAAAAAAAAAATATGATTTACATTCTTCAAAGCCTTGTGCTTTTAAATATTGTAATCACTAAAACCCGATGGTATGGAAAGTTTTTCATAAAATTAGATATGGGGTGTTAATAAAAATAAAAAAAATATTTCTGCCATGACTTTAATAAAAAAAACATATTCATAATAATTTCCGTGAATATTTTCTGAAAGTTTCATCCAAAATTTTCTGGCCTAAAATTATCATCTTTGTTGCATTCAGGTTTTTTTAAAATCAAAATTTAGAATATTCTAAAAATGAGAAAAATAATTAAAAAAAGGTCTATTCTGTTTAACGATAAAATTTTGTTTTGAAAGTCTTTTCATCAGACTATGCTCTATTTTTTCGCAATTCAATGAATACTTGTTGTAAATTTTGGTTATTTGATAGTCTGCAGTTTTGCGACTTCATTGCAAAGAAAAAAGTGATATTAGGATTTGGTCTATGATGTGAGGATTCTAGACTTATGGCAGTTGGAATAAGTTTAAAAAAAAAAAAAAATTTTAATGCAGCAAATACCATGAAAGTCTTCAGCTCATCACTTTCCGTGTAGTCATCCTTCTGGCCATTATCATCTGCATTTTTGACAGTTTTTAAATGGCATTCATTTAAGTTTGAATAGTAATTTAAAAAAAAAAAAAGTTTGGGTGGGTAAATGGCAGTTGGAATAAGTTTTTATTTTTTCCTCTTTTGACAGTTTTTAAATGGCATTCATTTAAGTTTGAATAGTAATTTAAAAAAAAAAAAAAGTTTGGGTGGGTAAATGTGGATTTTTATTTTTCCTCTCCCTTTATAAGGTCAGCTTGAAACTTAATTACTCCACCTTAGGTATATTTGTTATCCAGATCACATGCACAACATTGAAGCACACCAAGGCAGCAGTAATATTACTTCATAATTCAAGTGTTTTATACTCAACAGAAAGATGATTTCAGAATGCCTGTAATTTTTTTTTTTTTGACACACTAAATGTTAAAATGATTTGTAATTGAAATATGAAATAAAATTAAATGAAAGCTACCATGTGTTAACTCTTATGTGTTAACTCTTTAAAATTTCAATTTAGATTGCTTTAACATTCCAAGGAAGGCATTTTTTTCAAAGAAAAAAATAGTTTCATTTTTATGCTTGGTAAGAAAAAAAGAAATTAAATTCTTTGCCACACATTCAAACCAGTTATTGAAAAAAACCAGTTATTGAAAATCTGCTCTGAATTGTCAAATAGAAGTAAATTTACTTGTACATGTTATAATTAAAAAACTTTAAAACTTCAGGCTGTGTTCAGATCAATGATTGATCAGAAAATAAGAGCAATAACAGTTTGATAAAATATAATCCAATGATTAATCTTTAATCTGTCAAAAAATTAAGAGAATCATATTGCAACAAGTGCAGACTATTTAAAAAAAAAAAAAAACCTAGTCAATTCTATTTGCAAATCGGCACATAAGTTAACTCCTATCAAATGACATTAAAAAGGCAAGAATTTTTGAATTTTCAGAGTTTATTTATTTTTTTTTTTTTGTACAGAAGTGAAAGAGTCTGCCAATGATTTATGGCCAAGTGCAAATGAGTTGAAATGTTTTTGGCCCCTGGTGCAGTTAAAAAAAAAAAAAAAAAATGGCAAGAAGAGATGATTGAAATGTAAACACGTTTGCAGTCAATATTTTCAACACAAATATTGTTTAGACATCTTGATTGAATGCTTTTAAATCAAGTCCAAAGTATTGAATCTTTGAATGAAAGACACAGGTTTGTGATTAAGGAAATAAATTAGGTCCATTCAACAGCAGTAATGAAATTTAAGCCTGTTTGAACAAGGCACTTTTTTTTTCCATATAAAATAAAATCTGTTAAAAAAATAATGTGTACTTTAAAAAGGAAAGGTGGTGGTCTTGCTGACACGGCAGTGATTTCTTCCAATTTCAGCCTGACACAAAGTGAGCCAACATCAAGTCTTATTTTCACATCAGGACACTTGTGTTCCAAACTGTCATCCAACTTGTTCTATTGAAATAAGAAAAATTGCAATTTTTAATAAATTTTCTCATTCAATTCCTGACATTACATTAAGAAAAAGATTTTTTTTTATTAAAATATTACTACAGAAATTTAACTGGCCTAAGATTTAATTATTGAATTTGATTAAAAGAGAAAAAAGTTTTGCTATAAAAAATCTGACAGAAACTGAGATGCTTACTGATTAAATCTGTAACAGCTGGTAAAAGGGACTTGAATGAGTCAGGCCATGTATGAAGCTACTTCCTGAATAAAAAGAAATTTTTATTAGGACATTACATCAAATTTGGTTTTGAATAAAAGCTATACAATCAATTGAGCAATCAATTAGTAATTTGAAGTTAATGAAGCATTTAACTTCAATGAATTTTGCATTTAAGCTTTCATATAAAACTAAAAACTACCTTAATTTTAGTGCTGTATTTGTTTCTAAATATTTTTTGAGGAGAAAGAAAAAAGTCAACTTTATTGTGGTATACAAACATTCTCAAGATTTAAACCCATTTGGAATATTTATTCAGCAAAATACTGAAATAGAAGACTTTCTAACTAATATTAGATAACCGTTTATAGACTTTAATTCTAAACATTTGACTCACCAGCTAACTGGAGCTATCAGCTGTAGCAGACTAGATATGGGACAGGCCAATCAACATGCTTGGAGGAAACAAAGAAGGCCTAGTCTCTGCTGCTGGAGGGAAGCAAGTCTTTGGAGGTTACATAACACTAGAGAGAAAAAACATTGCATTTAAAGAGAGCAACCAATTTCAAATGGGCAGAAAATTAAGTTTTAAATGTTCTAATATTCCAACACTTAATATCTGACTTGGGGTTCCTACAATTCATATTTTGATATGGAATTAAAAAAAAAAGTATGTAAGAAATACTTTGGAAATTCGACAACCAGGTAAATTGCTTTCATCTATAGAGATAAAATTTTAAAAAAAGCAGAGCAAACTATCCTGTATGATATAAAGATGTCTTTGCAATAAAACTCAATTCCAAAATGAGAGATCTAATAATTTAGAAAGAAAGCAATTTAAGTGGTGAAAATTTTAAGGAGACCAAAAAAAATAAAATAAAACAAAGACACAAACTAAGTCAAACAAAAGTTTAAAATGACATGATGCTGACAAAAATTGCATCAGTGAGGGGGGAAAGAAAAAAAACTTACAGAGACATCAGCAAGCCGAGATTTGATTTCACAATGCTTGATAAAAAAATAAATGCAAAGTTGAGAATACAAAAACCATGTTCAAATGTTTGGTAATGAATTAAAAAAAAAAAAAAAAAAAAAAAAAAATTAAAAAAAAAAAAAAAAATGAAATCAGCCCAGCCAGCAGAAAATTTTATTATAGCAAAGCACGATAAAAAAAGAATACAACACTTGCAATATGGTGATAGTTGTAATAAGTGGTAGTCAATAACAGTCATAGAATGTTGAAGTCAAGGAGCCTGTTAAGTGAGCTCTTCTAATAGAAATGGCACACAGACTGACAAAAATCCACAAGAGACAACTACAGCATCACGTCTAGTAGCAGTAAGCTAGAAGATAGGTATTAACAATTATAAAATATAAACTAGGAAAACAAAATTTCAAAAGTGAATATAAAAAGTTAATTTTTTTATTTTTTTTTTTTATTTTTTTTAAACTTGTCAAGCTGATATATTACTGAACCATGAATAAAAGAAAAAGATTTTAGCCAACTACATTTGGGAAAGTTGTACAACAGGATAGAAATCTTTTTGCGTTTTTAGACAAATTCTGAATATTAAGAAATTAGAAGTGTCATACATGACAGTTACGTTTATACAAAAAATAACTTTATCTGAAAGCTTGTAACAGGCCAGGAGAAAGTGTCAGCTACAGAAAATTGGTACTAATCAGTAGAAACTAAGAAAAGTTTACAAAGATGAGCTAGAAAAAAATAAAAATAAAAAAAAAAGCTTAAAATATCAAGTTACTGTCACTAAATATTAGCAGCTAGCAATAAGAATAAATAAAAAGTCACCAATCCCAATCAAAAAGTATTACCATGTATAAAAAACAAAGAAAAGAGACAAAAGATAGTTCCTACTTACCAGCATTTTATTGACTGAAGAAAATACAATGGTCTTGGAAAGATGTCAGAGCCTCTACAAGCACTCAGCAAGCTTGTACTGTGAAGTCTTTACAACAAACATTAGGAGTGAACTAACACCTAGATATGAGGTAGATAAGAAATAGAATATCTTCAACTTTGGTCCAAGTCAAGAATTATTCTCCTCTGGACAAACAAAAGATGAAGGAATAATATTGGTGAGAACATCCTTCCAGAGAATTGGAGCATACACATTTCTGCACAAATGATGCATGGTCGGACGAAGCTGTTGATAAATCCGTTATGGTAATTATTTTGCTAGACACCACCACGATCAAATAAGCAGCACTAACTACCAGAGGAAGTCCAAAATGAGAAAAGGGAGAGGGGAATATGTAGGTGTAGAAAAAATTTTTTTTTTTTTTTTTTTTTTTTTTTTAAACTTTCGAACTAATTTAAAACAAAATAAATCTTCCTTAAGAAAAAAAAAAAAAAAAGGGCATGCAAATTAAGTTTTATTAAAGACAATCAAACAGCTCCATCTCCAGAATGATATGTGCAACAATTATCAATCAGGAACCACCAAGTTGTGGTCCCAGTTAAATCCCATTGAATTTATTTCAGAAACAGTTGATCAACCATAAAAAAAAAAAAAAAAAAAAAAAAAAAAAAAGCTGAATTTCCCTCCCTTTTTGAAATTTATTTTCTTTCAAAATAATCCAATTAAAATTAGATCAATATTTTAAGGATTTAAAAAAAAACAAAACAAAAAAAAATGTAAATAAAAAAGTAAATAAAACAAAATAGAACTAAGTGAATGTATAATGCATATGGTGAATAGACGAAATCGTAAAAGCAGCAAAAAGCAGGGGAAGAACAGAAGTTTTTGCTTTTATTATATACAAAGAAAAGTTCTAAAGAAAAAGAGCTCTAAATTTGAGAAATCTAATCACATGAAGGGATAGAAGTGAAGAAGGGTAAAAAGAAAAAAAAGCAAAAATAAAAATAAAAAGCATAACAAAAAGATGTATAAATATATTCTGGTAATAAATGTTCCCACTTGTAGAATTGTCTACTGTCATTGGCAGGTGGAGTAATGTCAGCTAGGGGCTGACCAGCATTCACCATGATGGTAGTAGTAGCAGCAGCAGCAGTAGGAGTACAGTAGAATTAAGACAAAACCATTTGGAGAGCCATTTGGAAAATATTCGGCAGCCAGTCGTTCTGACTGATCAATAGAGATAGCTCAAGCTGCCAACAATCCTGTTGTCATCAAAAGGCAAAAGTGAGAGAAAAAAAAAAAAGAAAAAAAAGAAAAAAGTCTGAATGAATATCTCAACATTAAATCCACTCTCAGTCAAAAACTGATTTGTTGGTTTTTCCAGCTTTTCACTTTCTACAAGCACAAATACTTATCAAAAACAAATGAAACAAGCAATGCAGAATTACTGGGAAGTATTGTCCAAAATTCAAAACTGATATGTAATAGTTTAAGTAAATTACAACCATTTTTTTTTTTTTTTTAAAAGCAGCAAAAATGAATAACTTAGTCTAAAATGACCAAGTCAAACTGAAAAATAGGAAGGAAAAAAAAAAAAAAAAAATATATTAAAAAAAATATTACAAAAAAACCATAAATTTAAAGAAAAAAAAAAAAAAAATGACTTTGCATTTGGAAGGAAAAAAAATAAAAAATAAAAATAAGAGCAATGACCTGAACAAAAAGCGGATTTCATTTTTTAAATGAGATTTTCTCAAAGACATTTGAACAAAAATCAGACTTAAGAGAATTGACAATTAGGAAAATTTGTAAGACCAGAATATTCTGAAATGATTGGAAGTCAACTAGAATGCTGCTTTATTTTTAATAAATACTCATAAGTGTTCAGAACTAAAGAATCTATGTTCTATTTTATAAATATCAAGCAAAACAACTATTGTTGCTTGGTTCATTTTCAATAAATGCTGTCAGTGTATACTAAAAACTTGAATGTTCAACACAAAACTATTCCCAAAGCCTAGAAAAGCACTTGGCTTGCTTCATAACTAAAAGGAAGACAAACTAGGAAAAAGCAAATTTGGAAACACCAGATTGATACTGTACGTTGATCCAAGTTGAAATATTCAGACACAAAATTTTCATTAACAAGTTGCAAAATTTGTGTGCACACGATTTTATTTAAGAACTATTAAAATTTCATTCTTGAAAATTTGGACAGAAAAACTGAAAAGCTGCATACCAGTTAAACCAAAACATTTCTCCAAAAAACAGAAAGCAGCTTTCAGCAGGCCATAACTATGAAGACGAGGACGAAAAAGCCTTGAATCAAATGTTGGTTTATTACAAATGATGGTACATGGAAGTAGTTCATTTCAGAGGATCAGACAAGAAAAATCCCCAACTGGCAAGGAATAGTGATCAAATCTGTATCAGATCCAACATCAAGAGGAGGAGGAGGAGGACGACGACGTGATTGACACACCAACCATGATCCATACATAAAAGCTAATAAAATGCTAGAAGACAAGTGAACAAAAGTGGTCCATGTATCAATTAAAATGTTTGCTTCTGATGTGTAGACATGATGATTGAAGATGTGAAATGTCCCCAGTTCAAACTCTGTCGATTCTCACCTCTATTTCTCTGCCTTCAATGCGAGCACGATTCATTAAATCTGTGGCTCATTAAGGAAAAAAAAAAATGAGATGCAATATTTTGCTACCAAATACATCAGATGAAAAGTTAATTTTCTGATTAAAATTTTACATCATTACATTTGAAAAGTTTGCTAGAATACTTACATGGGGGGGAAATATAAATAAAAAATTCATTAATCTTTACATTATCCACAATGACATCTGAATATAAGTTATTTTAAACAAGGTCAAACCAATTAAAACTTAAGATGAGCAGAGAATGCTTGTAAATTAAAGTAACAATGTATTTATAGCTACACCTGAAAATTTCAAATTTACATATGATTATTCACAAGATTGTTAAAAATAAGATAAAAATGGCATTTCAATTTAAAGGATACTAACTGCTCTTTGGGCATCTTCTGGAGTAGCAAATCTAACAACTCCCCAGCCACGAGATTTACCACCATCTGTTTTAATTTCAGCATATTTAACATCTCCTGTTAAAGAATAAAATAAATGTAAAAATCCCAAAAGACTTTCAAAATTTCACAATGTACACTTAACTTCAATACATAGAATTTTACATAAAACTGACAGTTTACCAAGAAACAAACTTAATAGTTTACTAAAACAAATAACTTAAGATGCAAATGAAATTAAGCATCAATTGTTAACACTTTACCACACATTTTGCTAGAAAGGTCACACAGGCTAAGATTTTAAAATGCACTAAAAAAAAAAAAAAGTCTTTAAAGTTTAATAATTTGATTGTTAAGCGGAAAATACCTTTGCAGTAACTTTTAACCAATATCTTGTTTCAAGTGTGTGTTGGGGGAGAGGAGAGACTTGCACAACTCTTCAGTGACCTTGCAATATAAATAGCCTTTGTTTGGTATTGGAGCAAACAATACCCAAATGAAAACCACGTCCACGTAATGGAAAATCATACCTTTATATCATTGAATACCACCACCTTTTATGTAAGAAAATCAATGTGTGTGTATATATATATATATATATATATATATATATATATATATATACACACACAAATTCTGTTACTGAACACACTCCAACAAATATAGCAATTTTTAAGCCCTTATACAAACATTAAACTGGAGTTTACTCACCCACATCCCTGAATCTTTCACGTAACATCTGCCAAGTGAAGGAGTGAGGTAGCTACAAAATAAAAGAAAAAGTCAAAATTGTAAAATATCAAAGTTTAGCATTAAAAACATTCTATTGTGGAGAAAGAAAAAAATTTAATCAGCAACAATTCTAGATTTAAAATATTAACTCAGCATGATTAGATTAAGAAACTGAAATCAATAACAGTGATTTTATATATATATATATATATATATGAATAAATGCGAAAAACAACTTACGTTTCTGACTACTATATGGCAATCATCACGTCCACTGCTTCCGCCACCACCACCACCTCCTCCACTACCACTGCTGCTCATGTTCTTCATCATAGTTCGGCCATCCATTCCTGACAATCCATGGCCACTCATATCAGACATATTCATTCCTTGGTTTCCCATGCTGCCCATCATGCCCCCCATGCTTCCAAGGCCACCCATTCCACTCATGTTGCTGGTAAAGGTGTCACCCATTCCCTGATTTGAGCCAAAGTTCTTGGGTCCAAGGTTATTTGCACCCATGCCATAACCATCCCCCATACCACCTCCACCTCCCATTCCACCCATGCTGCCACCACCACTCATTCCACTAGACATCCCCATGGCACCCATACTGCCTGTGGTCATGTTGCTGCCCATACCACCACCACCCATTCCACTACCCATGTTACTACCCATTCCACCTCCCATACCACCAGCTCCGCTGCCCATGTTGGTAGCTCCAGACATACCTGCCATACCAGACATGCCCATATTGCCTGGCAACATTCCACCACTCATATTGCCTGCCATACCCGACATGCCAGTACCCATTCCAGTGTTCATACCACCTGACATACCACCCATATTACCTCCCATACCTCCTCCCATGTTTTCCATGCCTCCTCCCATACCACTCATGCCACTATAGTTATTCATGGGGCCACCACCCATATTTCCCATACCACCCATTCCACTTCCCATGGCACCCATGCCTCCATAGTTACTACCAGAACCTCCTCCACTTCCACCACCAAATCCACCTCCCATCGGTCCACCACCTGTAAAAGAAAAATGGTATGGTAAAGTTATGAAGACAATAGGCTTCTAGTATTTAATTGATAAATTGAAAATACATAAATAACTAAGAACTTTACAGAAATTACATACCTGACATCTGATTAAAATTCTGCATTGGTTGACCACCAAGACCTAAGCCCATGCCAATTGATTTCAAACCACCTAAGAGATAAAAAAAAAAAAAAAAGCTCTCGGTATAAAAATATTCAGAAACCAGATACTTAATGCAACACACATTTGGCATACAAATGCTTTTTGACACGCACAAAAAAAAAAAAAAAAAAAATATATTATATATATATATATATATATATATATATATATATACTTACTGGGCAAATTAACTTTGGGGTGCGAAGTTTTGTCATTTGATGTATCCACACTGGTTTTGTCCATGCGTACAACCATAGCTCTGTCATACAAAGTCTGGCTGTTAAACATAGCTAAAAAAAAGCCTGTCAAGGATCACAACAATAATAAATTTGAAAAAAAAAATTTGAGTTAAATTAGGCTGATTAAATATTCTTTTTAAAGGGTCAACTTTTTCTTAAGGGCTAAATTAAATTACAAGGGGGGAAAAAATTCCCAATACTATATTATTGCAGAAAAATAACCTCTTCAGGACATGGGTTAACATGTCACGCCACACTTCCTACCTTTAATTCTTAAAAAAAAGGCTTACTACCCCACCCAGTCAAGTTTAAAACAACACAGACACACACACAGAGAGAGAGAGAAGAGAGACACACACAGAGAGAGAGAGAGAGAGAGACACACACAGAGAGAGAGAGAGAGAGAGACACACACAGAGAGAGAGAGAGAGAGACACACACACAGAGAGAGAGAGAGAGAGAGACACACACAGAGAGAGAGAGAGAGAGAGAGAGAGAGAGAGAGAGAGAGAGAGAGAGACACAGAAGAGAGAGAGAGAGAGAGAGAGAGAGACACACAGACAGAGAGAGAGAGAGAGAGAAGAGACAAAGACAGAGAGAGAGAGAAGAGACACACACAGAGAGAGAGAGAAGAGAGACACACACACAGAGAGAGAGAGAAGAGAGACACACACACAGAGAGAGAGAGAAGAGAGACACACACACAGAGAGAGAGAGAAGAGAGACACACACACAGAGAGAGAGAGAGACACACACACAGAGAGAGAGAGAGAGAGACACACACACACACAGAGAGAGACACACACAGACAGAGACACACACACAGAGAGAGAGAGACAGACACACACAGACAGAGAGAGAGACAGACACACACACACAGAGAGAGACAAAGACAGACACACACAGAGAGAGAGAGACAGAGACACACACACACAGAGAGAGAGAGAGACACACACACACAGACAGAGAGAGAGAGAAGAGAGACACACACACACAGAGAGACAGACAGACACACACACAGAGAGAGAGAGAGAAGACACACACAAAGACAGACAGACACACACACACACAGAGAGAGACACACACACAGAGAGAGAGACACACACACACACAGAGAGAGAGAGAGAGAGACACACACACACAGAGAGAGAGACACACAAACACAGAGAGAGAGACACACAAACAGAGAGAGAGAGACACAAACACAGAGAGAGAGACACACAAACACAGAGAGAGAGAGACAGACACAAAGACAGACAGAGACAGAGAGACAAAGACAGACAGACAGAGAGAGAGAGACAGAGACAGACAGAGAGACACACACAAAGACAGAGAGAGAGAGAGAGACACAGAGAGAGAGAGAGAGAGACACACAGAGAGAGACAGACAGAGAGACAGAGAGACAGACACACACACAAGAGACAGACACACACACACAAAGACAGACACACACACACAAGACAGAGACACACACACAAAGACAGACACACACACACAAAGACAGACAGAGAGACACACAAAGACAGACAGAGAGACACACAAAGACAGACAGAGAGACACAAAGACAGACAGAGAGACACAAAGACAGACAGAGAGACACACACACACAAAGACAGACAGAGAGACACACACACACAAAGACAGACAGAGAGACACACACACACAAAGACAGACAGAGAGACACACACACACAAAGACAGACAGAGAGAGAGACACACACAAAGAGACAGACAGAGAGAGAGACACACAAAGACAGACAGAGAGAGAGACACACACAAAGACAGACAGAGAGAGACACACAAAGACAGACAGAGAGAGAGACACAAACACAAAGACAGACAGAGAGAGACACAAACACAAAGACAGAGAGAGAGAGACACAAACACAAAGACAGAGAGAGAGAGAGAGACACAAACACAAAGACAGAGAGAGAGACACAAACACAAAACAAAGACAGAGAGAGAGAGACACAAACACAAAGACAGACAGAGAGAGAGACACAAACACAAAGACAGACAGAGAGAGAGAGACACAAACACAAAGACAGACAGAGAGAGAGAGACAAACACAAAGACAGACAGAGAGAGAGACACAAACACAAAGACAGAGAGAGAGACACAAACACAAAGACAGAGAGAGAGACACAAACACACATTTTGTAATCTAAAATACTAATTTCACCAGATACAACTCTTAAACTGTAAATAAGTTTAAAAGCAAATAAAGCTTCACTATAAAAAGGATACAAATAGCTTGTACTGCCTCCATGGGGTGTTCAAAGGTGACAATTCCCATCCCTCGGCTCTTGCCATCTTTATCTTGCTTGATTTCTGCACGTAGAACATTGCCTGCCAGTTTGAAGACATCCTTTAGTTTCTTCCATGTCACTTTATAATCAAGCTGAAAAAGAAACATGAAATTCCAGGAGAAATTAGATACAACCCCCACCAAAAACATCACCATAAAACTAACTCATACTTACATTGGCTACAAATACTGTATTTGTGAGAGGACCTTCAATGCCTAGATTTTGTAGAAGCTGTGGACTGGGACCAGCACCGCCAGCACCACCACCAGCACCACAGTTACCCATGCCACCCATGCCCATGGGGCCAGGACCTGCCAAGCCAGCTCCCATTGAATGTTGCTGCTGCTGATTTTTCATTTGTTGCATCATTTGTCGATCACTTTCTTTTTCCTGAAATCACATGCAATATTCAAGTAAAAAGATCAAACAAGTAAAAATAAGAAATGCTAGCAATATGCATTACACTAAGTTGCAGTTTGGTGTAGAAATCAATGAGACTTATTTGCAAGGAAATTTGGCTTAAATGCATTTTAACTAGATAGGATGTTTATAAAAATGTTTATAGATTTGAATGGAAAGCTTTAATACTGATAATTTTGCTCTTTAACGTTAATAACCAGATGTCATATGCCAAATAAAGATGAACAACTTAAGTGATACATACCTCTCTGACAACAATTTGTCTGTCTTTAACTTTGTATCTGTGCATCTTTTCAATAGCTTTGCGAGCTGTTTCTTTATCTTTGAATTCCAAAAGACTGAAGAAATTAAAAAAAGCAAATTATCAGGTGTCATTTTGTATTACCTTTTTCGCAGTACTAACTTCCCCAAAAGCTATCAAAATAGTGAGATTTTAATACCAATTAATTTCTTTAAAAAGGAATATTTTAAAATCCCCCCCCACCCTAATGAGTCTTGATAGACATGGAACAAAAATAGAAAATACTTTACAAAGTTATAGCATAAGCCACAAACATTCTTCCCAGCATCTGTAGATATCAGCTTATAATTTCAAGTTGTGTTCCAGATAAATGGAGAGAAAAAAGAAAAAAAAAAAAAAAAAAAAAAAAAAAGTACAAAATCTTACCAAGCCCCTTTAGGCTTTCCATCTACCGTTTCCATCATGTCTACATATGGAGCTTCACCAACTGAAGATGGAGAGGAGAAAAAGTAGTCAGTACAGGTATTATAATATATAATTTTTTTTTTTATAAAGTAGGTTCACCCTAACAAAAAAAAAAGAAAAAAAAAAAAGGGGGCAATAGTAGATATGAAAATTATCGGCATAGAAAAAAGCGAAAGCAATCCAAAGCAAGTGAATACATGAAATAAGAATTTTGTAAAATAATGCCTTTGAATTGTTTATTCTTTGGAAAATGATCTCTTTAACGTCACAATAAGATTAGCATAAATGTTCAATTGAATTGAATTTTCAACCCACCAGATATGGGCTATACCTCCATATATATATATATATATATATATATATATATATATATATATATATATATATATATATATATATATATATATATATATATAGAGAGAGAGAGAGAGAGAGACACACACGTGTGTGCCAGTACATTTACAAACAATACTAAAAAGGTATTCATGCTCCAATTTTTTTTTTTTTTTAGTAATCCTGTAAAATGTATTCTGGTAGAAGAAATGTTACTTGCCTTCCTTTTTGAAAATGTCCTTGATTTCCATCCATTTCATCTCATAGGGAATATTGCACACATAAACCCTCTTAGAGTTGACAGTGATCCTTCGCCGCCTAGGTGATTTGGATCGAGATCTTGACCTAACTGGGGATCGTGATCTCGACCGAGAAGCAGACCTAAAAATAAATTCCAGATATGAAACAAGGAATAAAGAGTGATTCAAAGTAGGAATATAAAAGGGTGAGTTCTAATTCCTATAGCAATAATAACAGTAAAGAAAGCTCAAAATTATACAATATATATGCATGTAAAACATTACACTATTAATATGAAAATTTCTTGGATGCAGCAGTTTCAAAGCTCACCAATCAAAGAATTTTCTTTACTGCATAAAACTTAAAATTTGTACAGATTTTTAATACAGGGAAAACTGGTAGCATTTGGATTTATGAAATGTTACAAAATCCATTCAGAAAGAGACCACCCGTTTTCTGGTTATTTGTATAATTGTTATAAATTTATCTGCACTTGGCTTTTTTTAAGTCAAAAGTTTAGAAATACCTAACATTTCAACTGAAGCCAGAAAAAACACCATTAGATATTCAAATTCACAAAATTAGGGGGCAATTAGGGAACAATGTAATTCCCATGACCAAGTTAGAATAGAGCAAAAAAATGATTTTTTTTTTTTTATTAATGAAGTGTCAGATACAATACACACATCGTCTATTTCAATTCATAACTAAGGAGATTTTCCAGTAGTAGGTCGCAACTTCATGCGGTAGACTGGTTGCCAACCAAGGCTATAGGACCCAGCTTGTCCCAAGGGTATTTGCGTATCAGTGAAAGTTAACTGAATTCCAACCCAAGAGCAGTTACCCATTACACCATCTCGTGCACCCCCATTTTTTCATACATACCCTAAAGTGTTTAAAAAGCTGAATGAATAGAACTCACAGAAAAAAAATTTAAATAGCCAGAATGATTTTGTAGCCCAGTTCCAGCGTGAAAGAATTTATACAACCCTAAATTTTACTGACCAACATTCACAAATGATAAAAAGCCTAATACACTTAACAAGTATTCACTCAAAATTTTAACATCCCGAAAAATCAATGAAATGAAGTTAATAGGTATTGATGCCATGTTCACGTCAACATCACTTTGACCCAAGTTTTATAGCAACGAAGATATTCTTGTAGACATCTGAATTTATCGGTTACAATATTTTTCCTATCGACATTATAAACAAAATTAAAAATCTCAAAACAAAAAAATTTAGTGAAAACCTTTGTGCCATTAAAACAAAAAGGAAAGTTCTAATTTTTTGTATCGCTTGTTTATATTTGTCAGCCCTTAGAAAATTTAAATCATTAAATTTCTTTTGATCAAACTTGCAGAAAAATCTGCCTCAAATCGTGTAACAAAAAAAAAAAAAAAAAAATTTTTTTTTTTTTTACAAGAATTATTTTCATTTAAAAATCAACTTTCTGCTTTAATTTGTAGCTGCCAAGTGATATAAAAATTTTTTAAACTATTATTTTCTAATCATAAATGGAAATTTATCCAAATTTTTTTTTTAAATTTGTGTTGATTACTTTAAAATACGAACGTTCATACACTATCAGAAAATGACAGGTACCGGTAAAGAAAAAGAAAAAAAAAAAAAATTTATTGGTAATTTTCTAACATTTTCTCAACAAGCGATTTCGCAAATATAAAGCTTTGCTCCATATTAGCGATTCTTACTTCAAGTTAAATAAAATATACTTCAAATATTTATTTTTAAGGATTTACTGGGCATTAAAGAGAAAAGACTCGTTGTACCTAACCGAAGTAATTTCAGATCCGACTCCCCATATCACAAACAGGTTGTTAAAACATGCCAGAAAAAAAAAAAAAAAAAAAGGTGAAAATAATGCCTCTATTTTCTAATTAAATTTTTCTTTAATTTATATTGTAATAACTGTTGCAATTCAGATTAAATTTTAAAATCAGTTAATTTTTCTCAAATGTTTCAGAAATATTAATTTAGATTTCACTAATTAAAAAATTCCAATTAATCTAAATTTGGTTTGAAATAAAGTATTTTGTATGAGAATTTTAAATTCAATCTAATAGCTTGGAATTAAAACTAAAAAGATTAAAAGAAAAAAAAAAAAAAAAAGACTTTAAAAAGGTTAATGACTTGTTCATTGAAATAAACAAGCCAAAATGTCAAGTAGCAATGCAACGTTACAAGACCATGTTATGGCAAAATCTTAAAAATTTATTCAAAAATTGAACGTAGCAAGCAGCTCAGTTCATATTTTTTTACTTTGATAATGCTGGGGATCATTGTTTTAAATAAAGATAGAACAATACAGCGAGGTAATTGGTTAAAAGGTAAAAGTTGAATGCAGCAAATTAAGAAAAGTGTTGTTACATTATGGAAATATTAAAAACTCCAGTTTCACCAATTCAAACTCATACTTTTTGTGATAAAGTGCACAGTTTATCTGAATTTACTAGTTTAGCAACAAGTTTTACAACTGATAAAATTGGTATGAAACTTTAAAATAAAATTCAAATTGGATATTTTAATGCTGAAAGGCTAATGCATTTTTTTTCTCAGGAAAAGAAAAAATAATTTTTTAAAAAAGTTTAACGTCAATATTTAAAAAATAATTGACGCAGCTATTCTTAAAGCAAGGCTTACTTTGTTTTTCAAAATTTAAAAGTTAAAAATAAAATGTATAGGTGTGGAGAGGGCAAAAACTTTTCGGCCCAACCCACATTTAAAAAAAAAAAAAAAAAAAAAAAAAACTTTTGTCAACTTTCCAGAAATGACTGTTTACAAAATTTAAATATTTCCCTTTCAACAAGCAAATTATTTCAAAATCGGAACAACCGAAGACACTCATTTACGTTCTTAAATGTAAAATTAAGTATTAAAAATATGAATTTTTATCGATGATAATTTTCTTTTAATGAATGTAGTTAATGAACCGAGTTAATTTCCTGTTCCCGGCATCTTAAGATAATCGGTTAAGAAGTGGAAGATTTTTCGCGCACCTCGTGGCGTCGAAATAGCTTCTTTTTTTTTCTCTCCACTCGGTCACGCTTACTACCATAAAAGAAATGACACCCTAACACGTAGGAATACATTAACACTAAAATGATTTTGTAATTCGGTGATAAATGCGAAAAAACATAACAGCGTTTTTTATTGAGAAAAAAAAAAAAAAACCCTTCCATGTAAAGCAGCTAAATCAAGCCTCATTAAAATGTCAGTTATAAACTAACATGACCCATTATTATTAAGCATTAATAGGGGCTAGAAAAAAAAAAAAAACATGTGCCGACAGGTTCCCGCTCAAGTGCGTGCGTGTATATATATATATATATATATATGACAAAACACGCACACAAGGAAGTGAGTGTGAGCACAACCCCACTGCTGCTTACAGAAACACAAGAGAAACGTAAGCCTCTAAGATCAAAGTTCACATTACCAATCAATCGCTTGAATGCGAAGCTCAGCAACGAAGGCAAAGTGTGTGTGGAAAAAAAAATAGTCGTTTGTATTTAAGAGGCGTAAATAAATAACCTAGTACTTAGACTACTTTAATAGCAAACTAAAATGTACACAAGAAATCAACTTAAAATTTTAATGGCGCGAGATTAGATTTGATTTGAGCAACAAGAAAATTACACGTCAAAAGAACGTTGGTTATTTGTTCACATAGTAAGCCGATTAAAATTTTAAAGAAAATGTGGAAAGAGGAGACGATGAAGAAACAGTATCCAAGTTTTGAAACATTAGAACTCGTTCAAAATGCAAGTCACTCTTCCGACAGAAGGGGCGGTGAGAAAGGACGGGTGGGGGGAGTAGCTATGGTCTAAGCTTGGGTTACAATGATGGGAAAAGGAAAATGAACAGTGGAAACTGACCTACTCGAAATGAGAAAGATTATGATTATTGCTAAAGTTAAAATACTTAGCAGCTTTTTGTTTTTAAATTGAAAAATAGTTTATTAGTTTTAAGATTCATATTCCACTAACTTTGATTCACTGAAAAGTAACTTTTTAAAAGGATTCATTATTAGACTAAATAAAATAAAAATGTTTGGACCCCCCCAAAAAAAAACAACACACGAAACAAACGATTGAATGTTATTTACCTAAGTTTTATTTTTATGGATATAAAAAAAAAAAAAAAATCCCATCACGAAAGATGGCGATTATTAGTCACTAATGAAGGTTCGGTAGGATAAATAACCACGATAGTCAAACACCAATTATTCATTTCGCAAGCAAATTCTAGGCCGGAGGCGTAATACAGAAAAGATGTTGAGGAAAAATTTAAAAAAATTGCGTTTAATTGAATACATTTTTTTTTTTTTTACATCAGTTAGCATGAAAATAAAAAGTCAATTATGTTTTAGCACATCTTGCACTAACTTTCAATTAATTTACACTAAAAGTTAATATTTAATAACTGAAAAAGCTCTAATCAGGTCGGAAAATGCCATTAATCCAAAAGCTAGTTTTCGTTTGAGATCCGATCTAGGATAATACTTGAAAACTTAAACCGGCGAGAGTGAATGGTCGGCATTACAAATTGCCTTAATTCCTTTTTCTTTATCATAAATTTGTTAGGAAAAAAAAAAAAAAAAAAAAAAAGACAAGAGTTCATTTCTCTTAGTCCTACTTTTATATACATTGCAAATTGTACTATTATTAAAATACTTCATTAAATTGGATTATCTCAAAAGTTCCCTTTAATTAAAAAGGAATTAAAATTCTAGGTAAATATAAAAATATAAAGCCAAATTTAATTTTGATATACAATTTTTTTAAATCTGGACTTTCGGCTTTTCTATAAAGAAAAAAAAAAAGCACTGTTCTTCCGTTTCCTGCTCGACTTCCTTGCCAGAAGTTATTTTTCAATAAAAGTTAATAAAAAGTTATAAAAACTACATAAACATGCGAGTATAACAAAAAAAATTATTTGTAACGTTCATATTTTATTTATACAAGCAGTTATGCAGAGAAGCACACAACAGAAAGAGAAACCCAAGCCTGGCGTCCATGTTGAAAGAAAAGAGGAAAGACAAGGGGGGGGGAAAAAAAATAAAACGATCGAAAAGATTCATGTATTTCAAATTTTGAAAAAAAAATTGAAAACATATGTACTATTCAAACCCAGTTAAATAGATACTAAACAGGAACTATGACATCTTTCAATCAAATACAACTGCGCAACACAAGAGAAACCGATAAAAAACCCAACAAAACAAAAATGGAGAGAGAAAAAGAGAAAACAAGGCATTCAACTTGGCGCGTCACTTTGGTTTGGTCACAAAGACGGGGACCAGTTTTGTGCAGGTTCATACGACAAGGATATTGTACGAGAAACCTACCCCTCCAACGAAAAGCAATGGGAAACACTATGAATCTTACGTGGAAAGATTAAAAAAAATTTTTTTTAAACGAAATGATAAAATTAAATAAAAGAAATTAAAATCATTCTCTAGTTTAAGCGACCGCTTCGTTCGTAGTAATACGTCAGCCATTGAAATAATCAGACTATGTCTGCCGCTCTCTAGCAAAGAGGGCGGTCATAAACTGAGGGATGAGTTTCCAATTATTTACCACTGATAATTTGATCCCCCTTAACTAAAGGGGGTCAAGAAATCGGAGGGTCACATACGGGAGGTTTGCATTAAGCAGAAGTGGCCAGAGGATTCAAATTTTTTAGTCAGATTTATAGCTAAGGAGAAAACAAAGAATTAAAAAGATAACAAGCTAAGACATGAAACACAGATGGGCGTAGGTGGAGAGGCACCGCTTAGAAAAATCGTTTCGACACTGGCTGATTTCCAGTTATTCCATACGGTGGTTTAGGCTTTTTTTTAAAAAAGAAAACTTCCACCTGCTGGTAACTGTTCGGCTTTACTTATATTTGATGCAAGCAAATCAAACAGCCATTAACAAATCTTTTTTTTTTTTGTCGGTCGGTTGAACACGTTATCTCCTAGCCAACAACAACGTTAACAGAAATCAAACTAGGAAAGGCAATCCGTACAAGAAAAACGCACAAACAAGTTACTCTAATAATGCATTATATTTTAACGTTAATAAGGTAACGGCTAAAAATACTAGTACAAGGAAAACCTTATCCTTACCTGTAACGGTTATTTTCCGCATTCGGCGAGCTAGCCCTGGAATTTTTGTCACTTTTTTCGCAGTCCGACATCTCTGCTGTTTGTCGCTACAACCGCTGCGTTGTGTGTACGTGCTTCCCGCTACTAGAGTAGCAGTGAGAGGAGGAGGAGGAGGAGTAAATAAACCAGGAAAGGAATGAAAAATGAGGAGTAGTGAAAGATTTATTTTATAAGAGAGGGGGCAAAGTACCGTCGATACTAAAGAAAGGGTAATCGGGCGTGTGGAGAGATAAGAGGGAGACAACTCAAGATAAAAAGACGAGGGGGTTTAAACGAAGTTACTAGAGTAGGAGTTAAGTAGTTATGTCGTGAAAAGAAGGAGGGGGAAGGTAGAGAGAAATGTGAAAAAAAAGTAGAGAGAGAAGAGGCAGATAGAGAGAAGTGAAGAATAAGGAAGAGGGGGAAGAAAGCAATAGCGATGACAAGGTAGGCGGAAGGACAATGGTATTGTTTTAAAGGAGAGGGATGGGTTTAGGTGAAGGAAAAAGTAAACTGACGCTTTGAAGAAAACGCCTAAAAGCAAGTTAACAAAATGAAAAAAATTATATTTATATGTCAAAATAAAAGAGGATGTAATTTTTTTTTAATACTATAGATATATAATTTTTTTAAATTCTTCTAACAAAATTTTAAGCAAGTAATTTTTCTTATTTATAATGAACAAGAAACAGGACGCCATCTGTCGTAAGATTTTTGAAAATGGCTTAAAGTGATAATTCGTTGCCAGCCATCAGGGGCAGATAATTCAGAATTTTATAGTCAACGTTTACTGTTGAATTGATTGGTTGTTGTTTTTCTGTTAGGGACAACCATGGGAACGTTAGAAAACATTAGCTGGATTAAATGTCTTTCTCTCTTTTCTTTTTTTAGTATCACTATCCTTGGTGTGTAAATGTCTATATTGCCGATGGCGAGTTTTCAAATATATCTCCCTACCTTTTATATTTTTTTCTTCTAAAATAAAGATATCTCTTTACTTTCACACAAATCTTTGAAAAGTAGCGAGTAAAAAAAATCAATTCAATTGTACGTTACATACTTTTTAAAACATGAAATTTATCTTTGTGTTTGCGTGTTCGGTATTAGGGAAGTACAAAATATTTGAAATATCTAATTTTTTTTTATAATTAAAAAATAAATATACAAACTATTTAAAAAAAAAAGATCATTCAGCTGTTTCTTTTTTTAAGATTCAATCGTTGAAGTGATTTTACTTTATTTATTTAAAAAAAATAATACTTTCTTACATGTGTCAAATGTTTATTTTCTTTTTTTTTTCTGATCCTCCCTTTCCCTGTAAAAGAGGACAAAATAATTTAAAAAAAAAAAAAAAAAAAAAAAAAGCAAGTTTAGATTTTCTACGAGATTGAAACCTATCTTCTGTTTGTTCCTGGCACATGTTTTTGACCCTCAGGACAGATATTCAGGAAGAAAATTATTCACACCTGATGGCAACTTCAGTCCGAATATTTTGTCAAAGAGTAAAATATGGTAATATTGCAGCATGGCTATTTTATATGAGCCAGTTAAATATGTGATGTTGTCAAATGTCAAGGTTATGGCTTTTAGGATCACAAAAAGATGGAAATTGTCTCAGGTACATTTTTGTAAAGATTGAAAAATGAAGGAGAAAGATTCTTATTTTTTTCTCACAAAAGTCTCTTCTCATGTCAAGTTAAAGTTACTTAAGGACTTTCAAAGCTCAAAGGAACATACATAAAGTAAAAAAAATAAAACACCAAGTTCATTAGGTGAATGAATTGTCAAACCAAATTTTACTTTTTTATTTCCTAGATAACTAATATCCCAGATCCCTTTCATCTCTAGCTACCAACTAGCCTGTTTAGTTTTGCTTCTTAACTTTGTGGTTGTGTTAGAGACATAAACTTCCTGCATGAGACAATTTCAACGAACTGTGTTCAAGCGTGGTTAAAAGCCAGGATTTCCACTACTGAATTTTAAGGAAGGCTGGAATGTTTCAACATTAAAGATTAAATGCTAAATCATCCGACCATCAATTTAAAGCCTTGTGCCAAAAAATACTATAAGTGTGTGTGTGAGAGAGAGAGAGAAAGAGAGAGAGAGAGAGAGAGTAAAACTGAATGAAAATCTGAGAAAATAATAAAAAAAGCAATTTCAAAACCTTATACTTTGATATGTTTCATTGGTGAACCAGTCTCATCAAAAATAATATATTTCTATGGTAGTACTACATCACTGGTGAAACATGTCAAAGTAGCAGTTTTACTTGTTGTTGCATATATATATATATATATATATATATATATATATTGTTGTTGTTGTTATATATATATATATATATATATATATATTGTTGCATATATATATATATATATATATATTTTCTGAAAATATACATGTATGGAAATTTTTTTAGATATATATTTTTCATATGTATGTATATTTTCCACTAATATTATCAATATATATATATATATATATATATATATATATGTTATAAAAATAAAATAAGACATATCTTGGCTGATTTGCAGGCAAATAAACTAACATACTTAAGAGTTTAGAGCCGGATGAACGAGACAAGGCCCCGTCACAAAATGACCATTATCGCTGTTCACGATAAGCCCGACACACGAGTTCGGGTCGAAAAATAAAATAATATTTTAAAGTGTTTCTATTTTTCGACAAAAAAAATGCTTCCTTCCTAATTATACTCGCATCATTTTTCGAGTCTGTTAAGCCATAAAAAATGCCATAAAATGGGTCACACGGGGAAGTACAAGAGCAGTCAACAGGAGGCCAGGGAAGTGACCTATCACGGTCAGACTGAGCGGTCAGCAGCAGTCAGCAGGAGGAGCGCCACGCCAACCAGTGCGAACTACTATGAGAGATCAACTCAGGTCGGCAGCCACCTTATGAACTATACCACAAGGTAGCTGTCACAGAACCACACATTCCTACTGAAATAAATCACGTATATCTATTTCTGCTGTTGTCGTATTTCTTTCTTGCAACCATACGCTTGTCTATAACACTGGTGTCAGAAGCGTACAGCAAGAGAAATATGGCCGACTACACAAGCTTCACCTGCGCCGAACTATTTACTCTCATCAAGGAACAGAAAACACTACTATTCAACTTGAAAACGGAACCAACACAGCCTTCCGAAGCCATGATACAAGAAATTCAAGCCGACATAAACGACATGCTGACTGCCCTAAAATCAACTACTTTAACACCACCCACTGCTAAAACAAACGGCGATTACAGCTTAATAATGCACCAACAAACTATACGTGACATATTGAAGCTAGAGAGAACTTTTCACCTTGATCGCGGTGTAAAAATCCAACAACACGACTTCACATGACACTGTGTATTTCACACAGAAACCACAGCAGTCAAACCAAAGAAATGCGCCACTCCGACCCAGCAGGCAACCAAACCCACAGCAGACGGCTTCACCAACCATCCTGAACACGGCCACCATCTGACACACAGAAACCACCAGCACACACCACAAATCAGCTTGTGCAAGAACTACCTCAGAGGTCACCCCTGCCTCCATGGACGCAACTGCCTATATCGCCCCCCCCCCACACCTCGCATTCGGGCACAGGCCTATATCGCCGCAACGAATGATAATATACAAGCCATAAACGATGTGGAACAGGATTTTTGCTTCAGGCAGGACGAGATGTGATGCCTCGTTCACCGTGCCCATACGTCAGCCATCACACCTTCAACTTTCAAGGACTCGCTCACCATTCACCGCTCGTCCAGTCCACCTTCAACTTCAGGGACATCACCTTCTCTGGCGTCGCAATGCTAGACTCTGATGCTCCACTTGCATTTTACCAATATCTCAGTTACCCAGAGAAGCCAAGAAACACATGACCCGCTCCGACGTCGTAGTAAAAGGAATCAACGGCAGCAGCACCGCCCTTGGCGAACTGACTTGTGACATCACCATCAGCAGTCGAGATTCACCCACATTCAAAAAGGTTAACATGCTGGCAACTACCCAAACCAAAATATCCTATGTCGACAACCAAAATGCGACTATAGAATTCAGATGCACACTCTCCTCAGGATACATAACACACACAGCCGCAATCATATCACAACCAACGATCCAGCATATGGCGCCCAAGCTAACGTCATCCAAAACCAGCCTACTATGGAACTACAGCCCAACATCCAGACACTGGATCAAAAGCTAACCTGGCTAAAGCATAACACGGGCTATCCCTACCAAACCACCTGAACCGAGACGAACTAGAGGCCACTGCAAACTTACTCATTCGCTACGCTGACATTATCAACACCGAAAGCAGCAGCAAAGCCATATTCATCCGACTCATCTGCATACCAACCTACGGCCAGTCTCACAGCCAGAAACAACACCCGATTGCCCAGGCTTTGGAAGCAGACGTTGATACCGAAAATAAGTGCATGGCTGATGAAGGTATCATTGAAAATTGCAGCGAACCCAAAGGCTTCAATAGCCCTGTATTTGCCGTACACAAGAAAAACGGATCGATTCACATCGTTGCTAACTTTAAAAGAACTCTCAACAAGGTCTTAATTGATCTTGACCCTTACCCAATGCCAAGGATCAACCACTTGTTCAACAAAATCGGCAAAGGCAATGGATATTTCACTACCCTCAATCTACGCAGCGACTACTGGCAAATTGAGATCGACAAGAGAGACCGATACAAAATAGCATTTACATGGAAGGACCAATGCTATCAATGCACACGCCTGGCCTTCGGCCTTACATCTGCTGGACAAATCTTCTCCTGTTGCATAGCAGAAGCCCTAGCCACGGTCACATCCCGTGAAAACATTTCTTCCTATATCGATGACAACCTGGTCCACACTAGGACATTTAAGGAGTACATACTCTCCCTCGAACAATTTTTTACTGCCCTCCGAAAATTCAGACTCAAGATGAATCCACATAAATGTTCCTTCCTTGCATCAGAGGCAAAATTCCTCAGATGCATAGTAAACAGCGAAGGATTCAAGGCTGATCCAGAATACG